GATGGCAAGGCACCTGGCATGGCACGCCATGGCATGATGGCAAGGTCCAGACTATGCCATGCCATGATGGAACATAGCCATGCCATGCCATGGCAGGATGGCATGATGCCCCTTGCCATCATGCCATCGTGCCATGGCATGTTCGGAAGGTTCACACGATGCCATGCCATGGCATGATGACCACGGCTCCGGGAGACTGGACCTTCCCATCATGCCATGGCATGATAGCAAGGTTCAGACGATGCCATGCCATGGCATGATGAACACAGCTCCGGGATGCTGGACCCGACATGGCATGTCATGGCATGATGGCAAGGTCCACACGATGCCATGCCATGATGGAACATAGCCATGCTATGCCATGACATGATGGCTTGATGTCCCTCGCAAACATGCTTACAGCAGTGTCTATGTTGTATACAGAAGGTGTTTCACGTGATCCTTCAAGCGGTGCGATGGATACCTGCGACATCAACCCTCATCGACGATTGGACGAGAAAAAGAAATTGAAGATTGTCGAGGCACTTCGAGTCGATCCATGGTTGAGCGTGTTGCCATGGCAAGAAAGAGTTCGGAACTGGAGCGAGAGCGATTGGGATATTGCGATGGTAGAATGTCCATGGGGGCACGACTTCAAATTCACTAACGAGATGGAATGGGGACGACACATCGAAATATGTCTTGCCTCCCTTCAGATAGCGTATATACCAAACTACGCGAATATTCACTGGATGTACGAACACCAGGGCAGTTTTGACCCTCTTGTATCTATTACAAGCCATGAGTCGGACAACGAGTGTTGCGAGCAGGATGGAGCAATCTCATGCAAATTTGTAACAACATCACCTCGCACATGGCCGGAGCGGTTCAGACTCGAGTTGCAAAGGTGTGGAAGATTGTGCAACAGAATCACAATTTATCCTGTGCAGAACGAAGCGGGGACAACCAGTTAACGCATATCTTATTGCTCTGTGAGGATTTCCTTAAACGATGTCAATTTATGTAGAGTTAATTGTGTAGCATGCATAGGCAAGGGTGGGAGATTAATAGAGGCAAGATGCGAAGCAATGTCGATTGAAGAGGAATGCGACAATGCCGTATTTAATGTGAAAGAATCGATGGAGGAAGTAGAGGATAAGATATGCACTATAAGAGATGTTATTGGCATCGCTCTCGCTAGTACACACAATTTCGTGAAGATGTTATAAATATCATCATTCGATACAGACGACGATGACAAACCCGAGGGTTTGGAAACGCTCACATTCGGCTCACCCTTGCACGGTTTGTATAGTTATGAAGGCAAATGTGTTCCACGCATTGTTTGAGAATAATAAATTTTCATGTTATAGATGGTTAGATGGTTTAGCATAGATAAGCATGTGTCATCGATGAACGCGTTGTATGGCTTTGGCTCCTCGCGAGGTCCCGCTTTGCGGTAGTGTCCACTTCAATCCTGCAACATTGTCAAACAGTTCCATAGTAAGATTGTTTTCAACCATGGTAGGAAGCGTGTAGTGTCGGGGTACAGGACATACATTCTGCAGTGTGTACTATGTAGGTAGGTCCGTGTGGTATGCCCCAGTACCTGTCTATTGCAGTCGCGCCTTTCCTGTCCTCTTATGTTTTTTTTTTTCTGTCGTCATCCGGGGCAACCGTGTTATTTACATGCAAAGGACAAAGGAAGGGTTATGACATGGTGGAAATCGAGAAGCCGGACCAGTGTGAAGGTGGGAGGATCGCTGGTAGTCAAATGTAACAGTAGTGCGGTGTACAAAACTGGGACGCTGGACCCGTTTTCCAGCTGGTGTAGCTCCTCACCACTAGTTTGGAGCCATCTCCATCGGTCCTATTCGTAGGAATTGCTCCTATCTGCTCCATGAATACGACCGGTCGAGGTGTTTTCCCAAAAAAAAAAAAAAAAAAAAGCCATCGTCAATTTTCGTAATTGTTGCTCTCTCATCGGGCCCCTTCTCACAAAGTGTGCTGATGATGTGATGTTCGCCTTGCAGACCGTTATTTTTTTTTGTATGGGACATGGACCCCTTATAACACTCCCATGTTGCGTGTGTGCGTGGGGAAAAAAAATGTAACAGCATATCGGGAAAGTCGTCACGATGCCTATTAAAACTTCCAAATATAAAGAATGTATATTGCATAGTTTGTGCCGGAGCATCTAATGGTCAGCCGCCCAATGGTCGTAGCGTTGGACACCTGACCACCCAATGGTATGGCGCCTCGGGGACGCCAGACCATACCATGGTCCGGCGGCTCGGGAGCTCCTGACCATGGGGTGGTGCGGCGCCCCGGGCACACCGAAACGTCCAATGCTACGACGCCTCGGGGGCATACCGAAACGGCGAGTTTATCCAATGGTCCGGCGCCTCGGGTGCTCCAACCATGGGATGGTCCGAAACGTCCAAGGGGACGCCGTGACATCCAATGGTTTGGCGCCTCGGGGGCTCCAGGCCATGGGATGGTCCAGCGGCCCGGGGACTCCTGACCATACCATGGTCCGGCGCCTCGGGGGGTCCAGACCATAGGATGGTGGGGCGCCACGGGGGCTCCAGACCATGGCATGGTCCGGCGACCCTGGGACGCCAGACCACCCAATGGTATGGCGCCTCTGGGACGCAAGATCATACCGTGGGATAGTCCGGCGCCCCGGGGACGCCGGACCATACCATGGTCCAGCGGCTTGGGGGCTCCAGACCATGGGGTGGTGCGGCGCCCCGGGCACACCGAAACGTCCAATGCTACGACGCCTCGGGGGCACACCGAAACGGCGAGTTTATCCAATGGTCCGGCGCCTCGGGTGCTCCAACCATGGGATGGTCCGAAACATCCAATGGGATGCCGTGACATCCAATGGTTCGGCGCCTCGGGGGCTCCAAGCCATGGGATGGTTCGGCGCCCCGGGGACGCCGGACCCGACCATTGGATGCTCCGGCGCCCCGGGGACGCTGGACCATACCATGGTCCGGCGCCTCGGGGGCTATAGAACATGGGATGGTGCGCCCCGGGGACGCCGGACCCTACCATGATCCGGAGACTAGGGGACAAGAGGCCGACCATCGAAGGCCGGGAAACCCGAGTCGCTGCCTGCCACTCGTATGGTTTACCGCTCTCCACTTTTATTATTCTTGCTGGTGAGCCAGGGTGCAAGAAGAGCTGCAACGACCAGTTGCAGGACAAACCCCGCTGCCAAGTGTACTAGTGCGTTCAGCTCGGCATGCCGTAAGACCTTGATGCCGTCATCAGGATCAGTTTTCTTTCTATCATCGGCATGTTCGAAGGTCCCCGCGAGAGTGGGATTTTTCGTTAACAATGTCTTCGAATGCTTTGCAGAAACCATGCACACGTCTAACGTCAACAATTAGAAGGGGAGTTGCCCACATCCGTCGCAGTCATCCACTGCATACCGAGGAACTCCATCACCGTTACGACCGCTCTCCAGCTCTGAAAGCAGGTCCCCTTCATTGGGGAAGCTTCGTCGAAACCGTAACTCCTCGCCACGTTCAATTCGTGCTCCTAAGAAGAGAAAAACACTTCTTCAATATGAGAGTCACCTGTCCCACACTCTAGTCCGAAGGTTGAGACTGGAGGATTTAATCAAGGCAGTCAAACATGACGGATCCACTCCTCCTCCCTGTCAGGCATCGACAAAGTGTCTGCCGCCTCCAGAGATCCGCTGTGAGGAAGACTCATCCGTTCGCTTCAATTCGGATGAGGACAACGGTGGAAACGAGGCATTTTCTTCATCGGATGAAGCTTTCGATGAGAGCAAAGACTACACGACACAACAATGTGCCAGTGAGCCACCATCCTTTTTGACGGAGTTGGGGTCGGGCACGGGGAAGAGGAAATACACGTACGTGAAGCGAAAGCGAAAAAGCGAGATATCAGATGCAAATTTGTTGGAGAAATGCACCATGGAAGAATGCGCTGCTGTGCTAAAGAAGACGTGCTGCAAGAAAATGCAGTGTTGTTCTAGAATGACAGCGGAAGAGGTGTACAAGGCGAAAATGAAATATAGATCGTTGAGCCCCGAAGAAAGGAGGAAGTGGTGGATGAGGCAACTGGACAGTTTTACTTGCATTGAAGACGAAAAGAAGGTGGTCAAACCTGTTGTGGAAAAACATAAGGTTAGTATTCAGGCATGGTGATACATTATCGTTTCTCGAGAAACACGTACTCGTTGTACCATGATCTGCATGAGAACGGTACGGTGTTACCGATTCATGGAAGCAAAGGCCACTCCACCACATCA